CTCTTTGGCCAAAGGAGGCGGGGAGGGCGGCCTTTGCCCTGCCAATGTACCCCAGGGGGGGGAAGGGAGGGGAGGGGAGGGGGGAGGCCGGCCCGAGACCTCCAGGGATGGAGGCTCTGGACTTAAGGACCTCTCTTTCTTCCGCTCTCCTTGGGGCCACAGCTCACCCTCCTTCTGGTCCTGGAGGACAAGTTGCACCGCCAGCTCACGTACGACCTGCTGCCAAGTGAGTCCGCCCCGTCCTTCCAGGAGATGGGTTGCCTCCCCCCTGAGCCCACCACCAGCCGGGCGGCGGGGGCCGGGCAGGGTCCCGCCCGCAGCACCCTCCTCCTCTGGGAGTGGGGTGGCCCCTCTAAGAGCTTCGAGACCCTTGTCGGGGATCCCCTTCTTCAGTGACCTGAAGCTTCCCCCCCCACCTCCCCTGCCCACTTTGCCCGAAGACCCCTCCGGCCCCTTAATATGCCTGGTCCACCCACAGGAGGGGCCCTTGGGGGGGCCAGGGAGGGCCTGGCTCCCACGTTGGCCCCACTCAGTGTCCTCTGCTCACTCGCTCAATTTCCCCCACAGACGACAATCCCACGGACCTGGCGGTTGAGCTGGTGCAGTATGGATTCATCAGTCAGGTGCGGTCGGCCCCCCATGGCCCCTTCTCCACCCATATCCTCGGCAGTGTTAGGGAGGGGGTGTAAATGGCCGGGGGGGGGGAGCGTATGTTTTAAAGAGAAGAGTCCCTGTGTTGATCCTGGAAGCAGAACCCTGGCAAAACCGGTCAGGCGGCTCTCTAGTTCCCTCACACAAAACCAGTGGGCCCTGTTGTTTGCGTGTGGGGGGGGTTGGGAGTGGGGAAGAAGGAGGTGGTGGGGTGGACCCGTCCACAGCCCCATTTGTTAAGAATTGGGGCTACAGCCCTGTGTGGCCTGCTCGGAGGGAGGGGTGGGGTGGCCAGAGCTGGAGGGGGAAGGGTGCGGAGCAGAGAGAGAGAGAGAGAGAGACGGGGGGGCAGACTCAGGGGGGTGTGTGTCTGGTCTCCAGGCAGTCTGCCTGTGTGGTGAGAGGGAAGGGGATCTCAGCCCCTTCTCGCAGAGGGCGAGGGGGGCTCCAAAGCCGGACTCCCCTTCTCCTCATTGTTCCCATTACTGCCCTGCAGGACGACTGCGAGAAGGTGGCCCTCTTCCTTGAAAATGCCTTCCACAAGCATCACTCTCCCCCCTCCTGAAGACTGCCTGTGGCAGAGACACGCTCTGGGGGCCGAAAGGGACCTTGAGGAAGAGGCACACGGAGCTGGCCCTACGGACCCGGGGAGGGGGGGCGCGCGGCTGCAGTCACTCCCCTCCGTTTATCCAGGCCTGAAGGGCCACGCCGGGAGAGAGGAAGAGGAGAGGCGTGAGGCTAGGCCACCCTTCCCACGCGGCCTGCGGATCCTGCCCTGCAGATTGGCACAGACCGAGGGGGGGCGGGAGCCACCGTTGGTGCGTGGTGGGGATCCTGCTGGAGGCGGGCGGCGGCGGCCAGCCCCCTCCACCCCAAGGGTGCCCTTTCTCCTCCTCTCCCTTCCAAAGTGGATGTCGCTGCAGCTGGCTGGCGCCCAGTGCCTGGTGGAAGGGTCGCTCTTGAGTGCCTTTTGCTCTCTAGAATTTCCCCGGGAAGCTGAGAGAGCTCGCCTGGCGACGGAGAGACACGTTAAGGTGGCACGCCTCAGAGGAAGATGACCCCGTGCAGACGTCCATGACTTGCCCGGACCGCCACTGTCTTGGGCCTCTTAAAGGAAAGGCCTGGTAACCTGCCCAGCTTGGGCGGCGGGGGTGGGGGAGAGGTTGGAGCTGGGGAGGGCAGCTGGGCCACGGGCTTTGGGACCATGGCCAGATCTGAGGGATCTTCACTTCCAGAAGCTCTGTTGCTGCTGTTGATGACAATGCTTTAAGCACATTGCACAAGCATGGCATAACCCTGCTGTGCCAGGCTGGCCCTCGCGGGGGAGGGGGAGGGGGTGGGGTGGAGGGGCACTATGCTCTGTTGCCCCGGCGCTGGCGGCTGCTGCCACTGCTGCCACTGCCCTTGTTGTTGCTGCCACTGCCACCAGAATGGTCTGGAGGCTGCTTCCCCACGTGGCTGCCTGTGGGGTCTGTTCTTTGCCTCAAGCTGAGCTTGCACACGGTGGACACCTCGTGCCGACGGTGCCACGCTGCCCTGGCTGCTGCCCTGTGTTGTCTGTGCCTTGCTTTGCTGGCGTTTCTGGTAGCACTCGTACCATTCATGTATTAAAATATAATGAGTCCTTCCGGGAGCTGTGACCTGCCCCAGTCTCTTTTCAACTGTGCTCTTTCTGCATTTTCCTGGAGCAAAGAAGCCGCTTTGTGCCAGCAGTCCAAAGGTGGCAGGAAGGGTTTTGCCTTCAAGCAGGACTGGGCCGACCTGGATCCAGGGTGGCCTCCCAGGAGGGGCTTGCCTTCCATTCTGCTCGCTCTCCCTCGGGGGGGGGCTTTGGCCCCAGCCCGCTGCCGCCACTGGAAGAGAGGGCCGTGGGCCGTGGGTCTGAAGCACCAAACAGGTCGGGCAGAAAGAGCCCCTTAGGCTCGGAGGGCAGATGGGCACATCCCGCCCTTTCCCCAACAAAATCAGAGGTGCTTCTCACAGAAGGCGTTGGTGCTCCGACACTTCTGGAGCAACAGGAGGTGCCCTTGCTCCTCTGAGGAGGCAAAATGGGGTTCCCCTCCACCCCACAGACTACATGCATGACCTCATGCAGAACTTCTCCCTGAGCGGTCTGACCCTCGTCCCTTCCTTGCCAGCTAGTCTACCTTTTTTGTTGTTTAGTCATTTAGTCGTGTCCGACTCTTCGTGACCCCATGGACCAGAACACACCAGGCCCTCCTGTATTCCACTGCCTCCCGGAGTTGGATCAAATTCATGTTGGTCGCTTCAATGACCCTGTCCAGCCATCTCATCCTCTGTCATTCCCTTCTCCTCTTGCCCTCACACTTCCCCAACACCACAATTCAAAAGCATCAATTTTTTGCCGGTCAGCTTTCTTTATGGTCCAGCTCTCACTTCAGTATGTCACTACAGGGAAAACCATAGCTTTGACTATGTGGACTTTTGTTGGCAAGGTGATGTCTCTGCTTTTAAAGATGCTATTGAGGTTTGTCATCGCTTTCCTCCCAAGAAGCAGGCATCTTTTAATTTCGGGGCTGCTGTCACCATCTGCAGTGATCATGGAGCCCAAGAAGGTAAAATCTGTCACTGTCTCCATATCTTCCCCTTCTATTTGCCAGGAGGTGATGGGACCAGTGGCCATGATCTTAGTTTTTTTGATGTTGAGCTTCAGACCATTTTTTGCACTCTCCTCTTTCACCCTCATTACAAGTTTTCTTAATTCCTCCTCACTTCCTGCCATCAGTGTGGTATCATCTGCATATCTGAGGTTGATGATATTTCTTCCGGCAATCTTAATTCCGGTTTAGGATTCCTCCTGTCCAGCCTTCCGCATGATGTATTCTGCATATAAGTTAAATAAGCTGGGGGACAATATACAGCCTTGTCGCACTCCTTTCCCAATTTTGAACCAGTCAGTTGTTCCATATCCAGTTCTAACTGTTGCTTCCTGTCCCACATATAGGTTTCTCAGGAGATAGATAAGGTGATCAAGCACTCCCATCTCTTTAAGGACTTGCCATAGCTTGCTGTGGTCCACACATTCAAAGGCTTTTGCATAGTCAATGAAGCAGAAGTAGATATTTTTCTGGAAGTCTGTGGCTTTCTCCATAATCCAGCGCATGTTAGCAATTTGGTCTCTAGTTCCTCTGCCTCTTCGGGATCCAGCTTGTACTTCTGGGAGTTCTCGGTCCACATCCTGCTGAAGCCTACCTTGTAGGATTTTGAGCATAACCTTGCTAGCGTGGGAAATGAGTGCAATTGTACGGTAGTTGGAGCATTCTTTGGCCCTTGGGTTCATACTAAGAACAACAGTGGGCAGCACACCCTGAAGGATCCACCTCTCTCTGGGAATGCAGACAGTTTGCTGAAGCGAGAGACATCCCATGACACTTCTTCCCAAGAAAATGCCCGCCAGGTAGACAGAGCCTTCCAGTGAGCTAAGGAAAGGTCCACTCTGACCATTCATCACAAACATATAATAATGGTAAGAGGAGGGACCATGAAATAAACTGTGCCCCCCCCCACCAGTCCAGAGAAGGGTGGCTGGGTGAAACTCTGGAGAAGTGATGTTTGCAGCAAACTTGTTTTTACGAGGTAAATGTGCATATCTATACAGAGGTATTTCCACGAGCAGCTGATCCACTCACAAGTCTTTTGTCTACACCTACTGCCAACTGAACACTGGAGCACAGTGTCATACATAACGATTCTACATAACAACATGGTGGCTGTCCAGAAAGTAATGGGAAAAGAACAAAATAGTTTTTCTTTTCTTCTGGGATACTGAGCATAATAGGTGCATGAAAGCATATACAGGCTGCACACATAACGGCACAGGTTATTAAAAAGGGGTGTCAGGTCCCTCATTTAACAGACTGAACCAGGCTGATTAAGATTGTTCCAGACTATCAGACTTCATTGAAGCAACAGTTACAGAATCTTAGCATAAACGGAGTTGGAAGGGGCCTGTAAAGCCATGGAGTCCAACCCCTTGGCTCAAGGGGGGGAATACAAATCAAAGCACATTTGACCGAGGGTGGCCCAATTTTCTCACAAGAATCCAACACTGCATTAGAAAGCAGGCCTGTCTCTCCACTTGCAGCTCTCAACATGCATCCACACAGACACAGTTAAGCTGCACACGGGAAATTTCACACTGTCCTGTGCTGAAGGAGCATCCATCACCCATGTGCATCATCACGCTCTGGCTTGTGGGAGAAGAAGCAGAACCCTTAAGGACAAGCTGTCAAGGACTGGACTGTTCCTCTTAGGGTATTTCCGGACTACTCAAGAGCAGTGTGGACTATGTATTTGTTTTGTGTTGGTTTGCCTCAGCATGTTGTCAAGACTACAGGGGAGGAAAGTTGTTGTTTAGTCGTTTAGTCGTGTCCGACTCTTCGTGACCCCATGGACCAGAGCACTCCAGGCCCTCCTGTCTTCTGCTGCCTCCCGGAGTTGGATCAGATTCATGTTGGTCGCTTCCATGACACTGTCCATCCATCTCATCCTCTGTTGTCCCCGTCTCCTCCTCTTGCCTTCACACTTTCCCAACATCAGGGTCTTTTCCAGGGAGGGAGGAAAGGAGCAGGGAGCAAAATACTCTGGCACTTTAAGCACTAGCACATTTATTCCAGTGTATGAGTTGTCTTGTATCCAGATCTACTCCTCGAGGCCCAAGGAGTGCACATATATTGTCTCTATACTGGTAGATACGTATATTTGTCTAGGACTAGGTGGGGATGCAGATGATGAACAAAGCAGCAATGGAAAGAGATGATCTCAAATAAGTGAGTCCTTGCCAGAGTGACAAGCTCTATGCCAAGCGGACCTTGGTTGTCACAGGAATGCTAAAAGTTGTTTCTGGGACTGAGGGGAGAGTCTACCAATAGAGACAAGTATTTTCTATTCATAGGATACTGCAGAATCCGGGTTACGACTAAGATTGGTAGTGTACCAAGAAGTCTTGATCTCTGTTGAGGCCCCTAGAGATAGCCCGTCTCTGCTGTTTCTCATTGTGACTCCTTTTTCCTCGCAAGGGCCACCCGGAGAGCCGCCACAGACTGTCCTGGGAGCCTGGAACGTCCCGCAACTTGTTTCTCTGGGCTGCCTGCCGTTCCTCATGCCAGATTGGTGTCCTTTAGTTCCCTCTGTAGAAAGCGGGGGGGGGGGACAGCACTGGTGGCATAAACCACATCAGGGGATGAACCATGGCATCAACCCTTGGTGTTGTGATGTACCTTGCAGAGTTCCCTGAGGGTGTGGTCAGTGCAGAACTAGGCATTTCTGTTTGTGGCTGGGTCTCATTCATGCCTCTGTATACTTCTCGTGGTGTTCCCTATGGCCCATGAGTAGTGTGGCATCTGGGTAGCCCACCAAAGCCTTGGGGAAGGGAAGCCTTGTTCTCCGGAATGAGCTGCAGGGCACGGAGGGAGCCGCTCAGGGACCTCAGCCGGTTGCTTTTGGTGACCATGGTCATTCTCTGGTTCCCTGACCAGCCTGGGTCTGTTATTCACCATGTCAGCTGAGTATTCCAGTTTAAGGAATGCGTGCCCTAATGCCGTGAGTGTTGAGCCTCTGTCCTATCGTTCTGAATAAATCCACTTTCGCCAACTGTTCCAGGGAATCTGAGCTGTTCTCCTTCCACGTCTAGCCACTGAAAGCCCAGGATTACTTCCTGTACTGGTGGGCCACTTGTGGGCCTCAAGATGTTGTTAGACTACAATTCCTATCATCCACCACCACAGCTATGCTGGCTGAGGCCAACAGGAACGATCAGTGTAACGTACATTTGGTGCTTCTATGGAAAGGTGCATGTTTATTGCATGAAGCTGCATTGTTATTAGCACCATATTAGCATCATTCTACTGCTAGGAATCCCTACAGCTATAGTTCATCTACATGGATTTTTGAATCAAGGAAATGTTCCATAAAAAGGTTGAAAGTATAACGGTGACTTTGTGTGAACATAATTTCTAAGGCAGCTTCTCCCATTTGGCATCTTTGACTAACGTGTTGATGCATCTTCCTTACTGAACCACACCCTGGCTAATTTCCTTCTCGCCTTCTCTAAATAAATCACAGACTATCACTTCCAGGATGCGGCAAAGTTTGCTGTTTAGAGTACAAGGAGTATAGCTCCCCATTGGCCATTTCGTTTTTATGGCCCATTAAAAAAAAGAAGATATGAAGGAAACAGTTGGTCTAAATAAGGGGTCAGGGAACTTTTTTATATTCCCCCCCAATTTATATACACCAACATTACCCCACCCCCCCAGCACGGCCCCTCTGCTCTCGCCATCCACCCCGCCTCTGCGCCTGCCGAGGACCTGTAGCCGCTGCCTGAGCAGCCAATCTGGAGCTGCCGGAAAGCGCATCCTTGGCAAGGGGAGGCAGGCACCGTAGGGCTGGCAGGTCCATGTTCATGAGCTCAGGTGAGGCGGGGTGGGAAGGGGGCCTCCTCGCCAGTGCCCTGGGTGGGCAGGAAGGAGAGCCCCGGCCAGGGCTCCACCGCCAGGCAAAGAGCCCAGCTGGCCCGGTATGCCGCCCTCACTTTGGAGGTGAGGAGGGTAGGCGGGTGCCCTGGGCAGTTTCTCGCCAGGGCTTGCTCTCCCCATGACAGAACACCCGCCTACACACAGCATTGTCAGAAATAAAATGCCTGGGGGTAATGAGGACGGTTGCACTGCTGCGACCATTCTCATCCCCACCCGTATTTTCATTTTTACCCCATTTGGGGTAATTTACCCATTCCCTGACCACTGGTCTAAACAGTTTCTTCTTGATGCCAGTGGATCTTCTCCTGGGCTCTCTCTCTCTCTCTCTCCCCCTGCAAATGGCAGAAGTGGGCCATGAAGCATGCAGGAATCTCAAGGGCGCCTGCAGGGGGGCCATACCAGGTGGCCCTGAAGAAATGCAGAACCGGGAACCAACTTACACAACTCTGTCATTTTTATTTATTTATTTATTTATTTATTTATTTATTTATTTATTTAACTTATATGCCGCCCACACTACTCTGGGCGGCTTACAGCATTTAAAATACAATAAAAAGGCAAAATAAAAGGCAAAATAATTAAAATACAATTAAAATATAATGAACAAATATGTGAACAGTAATGGACCCAGGAGCTCCAAAGGGTCACATTTGAAACCCTCCCTCCAACCTCAAATCGAAAGATCCCTCCCTCCCTAATGCTCAGGGCAACTTCATATCCACCACAGCAGAAATGCATGCCACAGGGCAGGAAAGGGAAGGCCAAGGCCAAGGTGTTGCCAGCAAGACTAATACTGTGTAACTGGAGTATGGGCTGTCTTCCAAATATGCCAGGCTTGCCCAACCAAGGGAGACAAACTACTGTTCTGGATTCATGCTGGCCTGAGAGTAAAGGTGTAACTCATGGTAGTAACTGAGCCAGCTCCTGCTCACCTTCCCCTTCATGTCTCATCATTGCACACACCTTAGCAAGGAGAGCAGCACCTTGTTAATTAACAGCAAGGCACCCATTCCCCCCCCCTCCATGGTTCATGCAATTACACTCCTGCGTCAATCTGGAATAGAGAGCTGGGCCGTACAAAGGAAAGCCAAGCAGGCAGGGAGAGATTTTGAATGCATGGTCCCTTAGCAAAAGAGGACTCTGAATTATGTTATCACCGACAACATGCATCAACAATAATTCTTTACAAGGACAACGGATTTTAAGAAGCTGTAAACGACCAAATTAAAAAAAAATACTACACCTAATACCATAAACAGTAATATTTTATTGCAACAATGTTGAAAATGCTTTTTAAAAACGCATCGGAAACGGAACTATTCATTTATTTACTTAGATTTATTCCCCGCCCACTTAGCGAACATGCCACGACTCTTGGGAGGCGCATCCAGCAGCCCGAGAGAGAGCCACGCATGCCCAGTAAGAGGGCTGGCTGGGAGGATCCCCGGATCCCCGCGAGGCCCCGCCCCCAGGGCGGTCCGTCAGGTTTGGGCGGCTGCGAAGCAGGGGCGGGGCTCGCTGCGCTGAGTGACAGTTCCGCCTCCCTGGAGGCCGACCTCCTGCCGCGCCCCCTCGCAAGAGATTCGCGCCTCTTTCCTCGAGGAAAGGAACCGGGTCCTGCCGCTCTAGGCGCCCGTTCTCTATAGCACAACGATGACGTAACCGCCAGCCCTCACGTCTCGCGAGATCTTGGTGCTCGGGCAAGGAGGAGACGGCGAAGATGGCGGCGACGACGGCGCTCTCTCTGGTGAGCTGTCCCCCGACGCGCTGGTCCCGGGGGGGGGGAGAGAAAGGCCCGAGACCGAGAGGGTGGCCCGTCGCGCGCCTCAAGGATGGGGGGGTGGTCGACGTGAGGGGACAGCCGCCGAAGGTGGGCGCGGGTGCTGAGTGATGAGGCGAGGGCGGGTGGGGGCGCTGGCCAGGGCGGGGGAAGGCGGCGGGACTACGCCTCCCAGCATTCTCCGCGCGGGTTTCCCGCCCGCCGCCTCGCAGAGAGCCGGCGTGGCTGCTGGAAATCTTAGTCTGTGCTTGGTCTTTAATTCCTGAGGGATGCGGGCTGTACGGCGTGGGGGGGGGAGAGGAAAGAGCGCCCTGCGCATGCGGGGTTCGCTCAAAGGGGCCCGCAGGGTGCCCGCGCGAGAGGCGCGTG